TGGAGTACTGGAATCAGAAGTCAAGTTGAAGGAGATTGAAGAAGAAATGAAAAATGAAGAAAGTAGACAAAGTGAATTTAGTCACTTCAAAAAAGCATGTTGAGAGGGAGGGATAAGGGTAGAAGAGTGGCTGGAGAAAGACTTCGTTCATGAAAGGGCTTAGAGGATTTGGGGCTTTTGTCCTTTATTTTTGGTTATTTTAAAATGGGAGAAATTTTTCTATTTCAAAGTGGAAAAATTTTGAGTTTGAAATAATTTGTAAATTATTTCTGGCATCTGGGAGAGAACTTTTGATCCACAGTAACACACACACACACACACACACTTCAAAAAGTCGTATCAGACAGTGATGCACACACATACACTCCAAAGTTACTCATGGTCTATAATCATAAAACCCTGGCATTTATCTCAGTTTTAAATTCTAATATAATAGAAAGATTATTGATTAAAGGATTAAAGATCCCAGTTATAGTCCTAGGGTCTTCCAAATGATTGACCTTTAAGTTACTTTATCCTTCTGAGATTCAGTAACTTTAAAAGGCTGAACTAGATTAGGAATGACATCTTAGATACCAGCCCTAATGCTTTGATAGGGGCTGCTTGGCACGCTGTGTTATAAAGGTTTCGGAGGTTGTGTCTACATTTAGCAAAAAAGACTACTGTAATAGATTAGCAATGTCTGCCACAGGCAGGAAAACAGTCGTTCTGCTTGGTATTTCTGAACTCCTGAACTAGAACATTTCATGATTCATTAAATGCATTATCATCCTGTCATATATCATGACTTCAGCCTAGGAAAATGCTCTGTCACCATTTTTATTTCTTATTTAGCCCAACCCCCCCTTTTTTTTTTTAACTACAGAAATGGGATCTGACATAGCTACCTCTGACATCATCAAATCTCTACCTCTATTTATAAACTAGCCCTATTCTTTTGTTTATCTTTCTAATATTCTCTATAATAGCAAGGCCATTAAGAAACACAGACCATTGGCTATAAAAACTGCCTTCAGATATTTGGAACTGCATTTTTTTACTGACTATATAGGGCTCCAAATAGCATCCACAACATTTTAGACTGTGATCGAATTTCTTTGCAAGACAAAGAAGGTCTATTGGTCCTCTTTTGCTGGATTCAGATGCTGTGTTTATAGTATTTCTAATCCCTCAAGTGAAAAGTCCTTTGCCCTGTGAACATAATCACAGAAGTACATGACAGCTAATTCTCTAAAACACAATAATGGAAGATCCCTTCTCTCAACCACTCCCAAACTTCCAAAAATGTTTCTTTTCTAAGTGGCTTCCATATATGTGTGTGTGTGTGTGTACATATATATATACACACATATATATACATATATACACACACATACACACACACACATATATATATATCCACTTATGCCCTCAGATAGAGCAGGACCCTGCTTTTAACATTTCTATTTGTTTGCCTGTGACTTCCAATTATGCTATGTGCCCATAGCATTGTTGAGAGGTTCCAATGAAATATAAACAAAAGCATTGTGTAAAAGTCTTGGTCATTATATCTATAAATGATATTATTGCCATTGTTACTCTCCTCACAAGCATACAGCCACTAAATAGGGAAAGATGGGGGCATTCTATAACCACATGTGGGACTGGTACAAGATGAAAGAACCAGAAAGGCAATTAATGAAGCTTTAGTAAAACAACTTCAAAATCAAAAAGGTTTTGATTTGGGTTAGTCCACATACCTAGCCAACTTTCCCCTTAATATCCCTCATTTTGTGGTGAGCATTTTTCTTTTTTAAGAAAGGCTTATTTAATACAAAACCTGAGGGTCCCCTACTCCTGCCATGTGGCTGTTCCCTCAGGAAGCAGTCAGGCAATCGGGTTGTGTAAGAACACTGCTTCTATTCCACTGTTTCTTTTATTCCCTGGAGGAACTCCACTGGCCTGGGTACTTCCTTTCCATGGCCTCTCTTTAATATCTCCCTCTTCTCTGTAGTCATTTCCATCTCATTGCCTTTTTTCAACATTTGGAGATTCTCTCAAGTTAGTTCTCCATATTACTGATGCAATTATCTGCAGGGTCTACTGTACGTTTTACTTCTTCTAATACATTATAAGATTCTGCCAACTCATGTTTTATTTCAAAGTCATCATTCCAGTTTCTATCCGGCTTCTTTTTAATTTTTATCTTCCTGTGAGCAGGTTTACTTTTGATATTTATTGTCTTATCTCATCTTTAATCTCATGTTTCATGGAATCCAGGCTTAATTGACTTTTATTGAAAGGACAAGCAGATGTTGCCTTAAATTACTTTTGTTTCCTACGGTAAATCTTTTTTCAAGTATGTCCTTCCTTTGCCTCCTGTAAGCTCTGTTCTTTCCTGCTTGAGAATCTTTTCATAGGGCCCAAATTGATGTGTGTGGGTTTTCCTGCAATTTACTCATACTCAAAAATGAGAATTCTACACAGGCCTGAAATCTCCACCAGACACAGGTGTAATAAGATGCTAAAAGAAGACTGATCTCAGTTTCAGCAAAAGCCCCAATTTAATAGGGGCAACCCAGGGCCAGCTACATAATTTGCTGGACTCAGTCCAAAGTGAAAATGCAGGACTGCTTGTTCAAAAAGTATTAAGAAGTCCAAGATGGAAACAGGAGAGCATTAATCCAAGCACAGGCCTTTCTGAGGGAGGAGCCCTGTGTAACTGCAAATGTCATATGTCCTTGAAGCCAGTGTTGGGGGAAATTACCCTTGCAATCCAAAGCAGGGTTCTGACCACCAAGTAGGACTTATAAGGTGTCTGTAAATCAGATTTTTGAATCTTAGCCCCTCATCCACCTAAAAGAAATAGAAGAGTTGAACTTGAAGCAACTAAAGAGTGAGTTGGAATTTGGAGGGTTTCTCTAGAGCTAAGTATCAATGTGCTGTGACCACCTCACTCCTCAGTCTCCATGTGGCTTCAGGGAGATCCCTTGAAGAGTTTTACACAGGAAGAAATTGCAAGCAGGCAGGGAGGGAGCAGCCTCGCCCTCATCTAGAAAGAGGCAGTATAGCTTTCCCAAGGGGAAGTCTCCGTAAAGGCACGAAAATGTCATGGGAAAGAAAGTATTGGCTTTTAATGTCGGCCACGTCAGGAGAGCACGAGGTCATGACAATGCCAGTCAAGAATGCCCTTTCCTGCCCCAGCCTCTTGGTCTGGGAGTGAGGCGGAAGGAGCCAGCAGAGCATAGATAAGAAAGAAGAAAAGCATTAGGTTGAGGTTTTGACTATTACCCAGTATTGAAATGAAACTGCTTCGTGACTCTCAGTGATCAGAGAAGTTTCTATTATCCTAGAGTAAATGGACAAGGCAGATGGTCCACCACACGCCAAAGGGAAAGAACAACATCGTGAACTTGCACAGAGTTGTGTTATAATTGGGCTTGATTACGTTCTACTTGTTTAAATGCACAGGGTTTGGGTTCTTTTCAAGTTCTGCTTGTTTGCAGGATACAGACCTCTTGCTGATTGTTTAGATTGAGCACCAGTTGCCTTTTTCATTATTCAGCATTGCAAAGAGAGCAGGAGAAGCAGAGGTCTTAGACAGCTTCACTCTATTTGATGCAGGTGCAGCTGCAGCTCCAGGTGCCAGGCCTGGAGAGAAATCTTCCTACTGCCTCAGGAGACCCAGCTCCCTACCACCACCTTAGCAGGCCCAACATTCCTCCCCACCCACCAGACCCAATTTCCCGTTAGCTTGAACCCAAAGAATCTGCTGATGTGAGAAGTTGTGCCTGCAATGCTTCCTCTAATTCTGTTCCAAAAAGCTGGAGGGGAGGGTGCTGCTGTCCACACTGAATGTTAGCTGCTGAGAATGCACACCAGTGGGGAATCCCCACTCAGGGTCACTTCTTTCAGCCCCCTTTGTGTACTTCCTGACTAACAAACGTCTGCCATACCCTGCCCCTCAGTACACCACTTTCTCCCGTCACAATCCCAGCCCCATCTGCTCTGAGCTACAGCCTCCTAGCAAACTTCAATTAGAGCACTGGGTCTCAATCCTGGCTGCACATCAGAATCAGCTGAGGAATACTGTAAACGCCAATGCCTGGCCCTCACCCCAGACCAGTTGCCGCAAACGACTGGGGAGTGTGGCGCAGACATCTGGGCTTTGCGTTCCTCTCCAGGCAATTCTAATGTCAGCCAGGGCAACTCACAGGTTATTCTATTTTTTGCTCAATTCGGTGTCATCTTACAGAAATTCCTCATAGCCTTTGGCATATGGATGACAATGTTTCCTATTTTTCACTGCTGACACAGATTTTTTTCATATTATTACATAGAGATCAATTTAGATTTGTCTGCAATACAAGAAAGACTCTCCTAACTGTCACTGTTAGGAAATAACTGTATAACATAAGGGAAAATTGAAATCTTCCTCCGCAGAGCTTGTAAAAACAAGCCAAAATCATCTTATTTTCTGCAGCTGTTTAGGTGGACAGTTACTAGGCCGAGGTCCTGTTTAATGCTGTAGATCTACACTGGAATCCTAGTCAATCATAGAAGCAACAGTCCCTCCATTATTAAGAACTCTTCATGGGCAATTCTTTCTTAGTGAAGAGACAGAAATTAAGGACTGGCCCTGTAAACAATAAGTAAATCTAATCTAGGCACCTGTATGATCCAAATTCCACATCTCTCCAGAATTGCAATATTTTATTGATGTTTGAATTACAAAAGTATATTGTTTACTCTAAAAAGAAAAACTCAAGAGGGCTAGAAAAGGTCGGACTTCTCCCAGGGGAATAAAATTGATCATGATGTCTGTTCCATGGAAATTTAAGTATTAAAATGTAAAGATCACAAAATCTATTGGATTCCATTCAGCCTCTAACTTGCCTTTGTTCATTATCCTGAGCCTCAGCGATTATTGTCACTCTGTGCCTTAATAAGCTCTCACATTTGACCACTCTTTAGGCAGCTAAGCATGCGTTTCCTTTAGGATTTTGTTCACCTTCATTTACCTTCAGAGCTTGTGACAGAAATCACACCATCTTGAATATCTGGCTTTCTCGTGCAGGTCTTCTCTATCCCAAGTACAGCAAGCAGATTGCTTTGTTCTCTTGCCATCCTGAGCACAATCCAGGTGCTGAACACAAGAGGCTGTGAATAAATGATGAAACCAAGTTTTAGCTTAGAGCTTACTGTGTGCCATTTGCATACGTATAATGTCAGATTCATTATTCATGAGCATATGCTACAATGGCCCTCCCCTCAATTCTCCACTGCTCAATTCTCCACTGCTTCTGACTCTCAGATGTGCAAGATGAACCTCTCTCCTGCAGCTTGGAGCAATTTCTCCTTTCTGAGTTCACGGCAGAGTGATAGCCCTATTTTTAATGCAAGTGTGGCTCCTTAGATGCATACCATTTACAACCTACCATAAAATAAAACTGAAGGTTTTGATTCTGAAAGCTGTAAGCATATTGGGTCAACAAAAAAAATTAAGCAGCAAGAAGCAAGGATTCCCTTTAGAATTCTGGTGGAGGGACATGCTGGTCTATCTATAGATAGAAGAGGTAAGTTACAATGGCACATTGCAGAGGGCATGCTGGGAAGCCTTTACTAATTAAAAGTCTCTCTTCCAGATAAGTGTGATGGTTAATTTTATGTGTCAGTTTAACTAGGGTAAGGGATGCCCAGAGATCTGGTAAAACATTACTTCTGGATATGTCTGTGAGGGTGTTTCCAGAAGAGATTAGCATTTGAATCAATGGACTGAGAAAGCAGATTGTCCTTACCAATGTGGGTAGGCATCCTCCCATCCACTGAGGGCCCAAATAGAACAAAAAGGCAGAAGAAGGGCAAATTCAGTCTCCCTATTTAAGCTGAAACATCTGTCTTTTCCTGCCCTCAGACAACATGGCTCCTAGTTCTCAGGCCTTTAGACTCGGGCTGAATTATAACACCAATTCTCCTGGTTCTCCAGCTCACAGATGGCAGACCGTGGGACTTCTGTGCCACCATAATTATGTGAGCCAATTCCTATAATAAATCTCTCTATATGCATATATACATATACATATAGTGTGTATATATACACACATATATACATACATATATAGTACACACACACACACATTCTATTGGTTCTGTTTCTCTGAAGAACTCTATTACTATAGCAAGTTCCTCTCAAGCCTAGGATTCTACTATTACAAATAAGGAAATACTGTCTCTTAGAAGGAAAAGCTCCTTGGGGAGAATGACATAGTGGACCCTGTGATTTACTTTAACAGATCACTATCCTCTCTATAAATAAAACAAGCCCACTCTTACATGGTGCTTCCTATGTGCCAAGCACTGTTGTAAGTGCCTTCTACATACTAACTCATGTGATTCTTAAAATAGCCCTATAACATAGGCATTATCATCATTATCATCTTCATCATCATCATCGCCATTACCAACATCTCCATTTTTCAGATGAGGAAATGGAAGCATGGAAAATTTGAGTAACTTGCCAAAGTCATATGCAAGAGTCAAAATTTGAACCCATATAACCTGTTTACAAATTAAGCATTGCACTACAGGGTCTCTGGAGAGTAACACACATAAAAGGTGTCTGTCTTTGGATAACAGAAAGAATGGAAAATATTCTGAAAATAAATTCAAAGGAACGCTGATGGAGAGGGGATGTGCAGTAGCAGAGCACTAAGCTTGCTGTTGCATATGATCTGCCCTCCATCCCTATTACCTCCGTCCTCATCTCCTACCTGTCCGCCCTCCACCCCTTTCTCCCTCTATTCTAACCACTCTGGCCTCCCTGCAGTATCTTAAACACACCATGGATACTCCCACTTCAGTTTTTGCACTTAACTGTTCCCTCTTCTCAGAATGCTCAGAGAGCCACAGACTCTCTTCTTTTAACTCTTTCACTTGTCACCTCATCAGAGAAGCCTTGTCTTATAATCCAATATAAAATAGCACCACACCTCCCTCCAGTCCATTATTCCAAGTCCTTTCCCAGCTTCATTTTTGTTCACAGTACTTATTATCTGACATATTATACGTTTACTCATTTGTTTATTCATTGCCCTCACAATCACCTGCCACTGAAATGTAAGCTCCATGTGAGAAGACCTTTTGTCTATTTGTCATTGTTGTATTCCTAGCACCTAGACCCATGCCTGCCACCTTACAAGTGCAATACACATTTGTTAAAATCAATGGGTAAATGACTATGAACTATATACCTTACAATTTTTCCAATGATGACCCCCAAATGGAATATAAAATTTGAGACATCTTTTATATGCCTGAGGCTATAACTTAACAAGGTTCATTGACAAATTAAATCACTGGATCTTTTTAGCAGTGATAAGGTTAGATTAGATATATTTTTAGATGGAGACTAATAAATATGACTGCACAAGTAAAAGATTTTGGCAGAGGTGTTGACATACTCGTCCACAGATCTGGGAATCACTAGGCATGCAATCCGTGGGAGATAAAAGTAAAAAGAGGCGCTGCGTGTTGCAGAAAAGGTCAAAGTCTTATAGTCAGGTCTACGTTCAAATCCTAGTTCTGTTACTAATTTTTACATGACCATGAGCAAATTAGTCTCATTGGGTTTCACTTTTTTCATCGGTAAAATGGGAATGGGTATCAATATGACAACATTAACTTTGAAGGGCTATTGGGAAGAACGAGTTGAACAATACAGATAAAGTGTTTAGCACATAATAGCTTTCCAACCTTTTTCCCTGAATCTTTATGCAAAAGTGGCATGATTTAGTGACAGGTTGAGAACATAAAGCAATCAAGCAAGATTCTTTGTTTAGAAGGGAAAAATTTTTTTTAAAATTTACAAAATCTCTAAGTATGACTAATCTTTTCTCCAACAGCCCCCATAGTTCTACTTCATTATTTAATAAATTATTAACAAAATTTACTGTATACTCACTAAATGCCAGATATCACTTAGCAATTGTGTCTTATTAGCTTTCCTTTATGATTAATGCTTCATTGGTAAAGGATACTTTTACTGCTCTTACCTCTCCAAGGATGCAAATGTAGAATGAAGGACATTGTTAGAGCTTCAGATGCAATGGGATGAATAAGGAAAATGAAATGGGGATACTGTCTGTTCTGACTTAAACAACCAAGAATACCTTAAGAAAAAAACTTGTGTGTTATTAGAAAAAATACTAATACATAGAATACATATATTATTATATTAGAATACATCTATGGATAGCTAAGAGTGGATGATGCACCTACATCATAGAGCAGAAATGAAATTATTAGTTTGGACGCAGAGTCATTTGTTCTAGTTTATGTCTAGTTGTTGTCTACTTCTCTCATGGGACCGCTGACTTCCACATATGTGGCCTCAAGTCTAAGAAATCTTGCATGGAGTAAAGGCTTATTTTATTATTAATTAGGTCTCTCTAGGCTCATGGGATGTTCTGTGTCTGTTTCTACTGGGGGACCGTCTGGCTCAGGGCTGTAATTTGACAGCTCTTTATTGGCAGAACTACATGAACTGAGGACTCCTTTTTATTTCAAAGGGAGAGTTATTCCCACCAACTCAAGGAAAGGATTGCCAAAAGTCACAGCAGAGGCAATAAGAGATGTGATGCTTGCATTCCACAGCCCTCATTCACCTTCTAGGCTCTGTGAATAGTGTCTCACCTAGATGAAGACAAATCAGAGCTATATCACCCCTACCCACCTCTAAGTTTGAGATATATTGGGGATGGTCTATGAAGTCAAATTCTTGTCCCAGGCCCTATCAATAATTGGTGTGAGAGTTAGAACTAGATCTCAACCCTTAAATCTTGTCAATTGCTCTGTTTGCAATTTGCTTTCCTCTTTCACCCACACCCCTTGGTGCACATGCTGAGCCTTTTGTGGTATCTTTTCTATCAAAGGTGTACTATTATTTTATAGGTCAGGTTTCCTTGAGTGACACCTCTTTGAAGATAGTATAATAGTGAAGACCGTGTAGAAAAATTATTCCCAAGAAAAGCCCTGAAGCACATAGGAATTATTCATTCTCACAACTATTATTGTTCCACAGGAAAAGCAAAACGCTTTTAAGGGACTAGTGAAATGTTTTTTATAAACTAAGCACAGCGTCCATAAATTATTGTGAAAGAGTTATCCATTAGTTCTAGCCAAAAAGCAGTATTATTTATTATGAACATATTTATTGAATAAACATTCTGAAGCTTTTATTATTAATAGGAGAGAGCAAGAATGAAAGAATTCAGTTGTTTTGATAGAAATAAATGTGATACATTCACAAAATCTCATGAAAACCAATAAAAAATAAAAAGAAAAAACATCCACCAAGATGTGTTAAGGACTTTAATTTTGTCGAATGAGCATTTTTTACTCTTTTCTGAAAATTTAAACAAAACATTTGCATTCACATTAAGTTTATAAGCTTTTTCACTATCTACTAGAAATGTAAACTATCTCAGAGATGACTGTGGTAAACAATTCTAATTTTTTAAGAATTTCATTTAGGAGAATGAATCTGAATTATCAGTAAACCTAAATACAACATAGTTTTAACTATTACATTATTTCAAATACATTATGGACAAATTAGAACTAACTACCAACCATATCTTTCTGAATAGCTAGCTTAATCAGTAAACGAGTCATTTGTAATAAACACCACTTCTCACCTTTAAAAACAATTTTGTTTAAAATTTTTTTAAGTTTTTTTTTAAGCAAACAGACCCCCTGACCATCACCCCTACTGTCACCATGAAAAGAGAGAACATGATGACACCCTATATTTTCTTAGAGGTCCTTTGTTTCACAAATATATCAGTATAAATTTTATTCCAACCCTTTTAGAATTACCTCAGAATCATACTGTTGGAGCTTAAATCAATAAGATCCAACAGTACATGAACTTAACTACATGAAAGTTTCAGTTTTCAGGAAGTGAAATTCCTAAGACAATACAAAGAGTCTTTAGCACATTTAGACCTAAGCATAGACCAATGACTTTCATTCACAAGAATCCAATCCAAGAACTTCGCTAATTCTAAATTTTCATGTGGCATCTAACTTCCTTTACTCTTTATGCAAAACTTTTGGATTATGTTAAAGCTTCATTACTTTCTGAGACCTTTTATTTCCTC